TTTAGAATTCTTAATTGGACTCTGAACCATTTGAAAACAGTTTGTTGAAGTTTGCATGTTTGACCAAATGTTTTTGTCACTTTTCTTTTCTGTGTTATTTATTTTCTGTTGGCTGTTCTGCTCCTAACTGCACCGACTGGACAGGTTAAAGTTGTTTTTACATGTTTGACCAAATCTGTGAAGCCGTTGGTAGATTTCAGCCAGTGTGCTGTATGGGCGCAGAGTTATTAGATAAATTTGTAATTCAGTACATTTATGTCGAGTTAGGGTTTTTTTTTGTTTAAAAAAAAACAAAACAAAACAAAAAAAACGTTTTATGTCAATTCAGCAGTTTTTCTGTATCAGACTGGCTGGTGCTCAACCTCAGATATTAATATCGGTATCAGATGAGAAACAAAAGGATCGATGCATGTCCAGTTTGTGGATATCTATCATTTCCCGCCCTCAGCTTCAGGTAGCCACCGTCTCACCTGTTCTACCTGCAGTTGGGCTCTGAGGCTCAGTTGGCGGCACTGATGGTTTCAGCTCAGAGGAAATCAGAACCTGGATCTGCAGCATCCCGTCGAACCTGCAGAGCAACAGAAACATGTTTCTGACACATGAACAATACGGACTTCAGACATTACCAGTTTGGAGCAATTTACTGGAAAACAGGAACGAACCAGGAAGTGACCTCGCTGGCACATTGTTACATAAAACAACTAACTTTAATTAGGTTAGGATTATTGAATTAACACAACATAAACCTCATTATTATTCATCTGTTTGATCTAAACTGTAAGTTTACCATTCTGATAAACTGCAGCAGTTGCTGCGGATTCATTTGTTGACTTAAAAACCTGAACGCAGGTCTGCTGCTGACAAAAGACTTTTAACAGCAAGGATTTAATCTGATCTACGGGAGCCCAGGTGAGCAAACAGAGCGAAACCGCCTGATGAGCCTCTAAACGTCCGTTTGCTTTTAGAAATGTGTTGTTCTGATGCAGATGGTTTTAATTTATCAGAACCTGGAATTAGTTTTAAGGTTAGAGTTTTATCGTTTTCTTTGTGTTTGGGACATGATTTCAAATGTTTTATGCATCTATGTCATCATTATCTATGTCAGGAGTTTGGTTTTGGTTTTCATACAGTAACTGGAAACGTTCATCTTCACTTCCAGCAAAAACATGACAGCAAGAACACTATAAAAGTGAAGGGAATTAATAATCCAGTCAAATCAAGTTTGATTTGACTGGATTATCCAGCTGTGAACAAATTCACAGTTGGATATTGTTTTGGACTTTGACTAGGCCATTCTAACACATTTATACAGGTTGTTTTAATCCATTCCATCGTATCCTTGGCTGTATTTTTAGGGTTAAAAGTTAAACTTTCAACCTGGATTTCAGCCAACATGTTTTGTAAGAGGGAAATCTGGAGTCGACTCTCGGCTGACTGAGGAAAATGTAACAAACCCATTTGTAGCTGCAAGTTTCCACGTCTCAAAGCTCTGAAGGTTTGGTTTGTCATCAGTCTTACAGAATGAAAGGCAGTAAAGCTGCCAGTGTCAAAGACGGATCATTTGACATATGAGTAAGTGTATAGTTAAAGCCCTGGGGACTTTCATAGAATCAGTTTGGATAGGAAAATAAGTCAGTAACCTGCAGCTTGGCTCCGAACCCAAATACCACAGAGCTAATTAAACAGACCTGAGTAACTGATCAAATGCAGAAGATTTCTCTGCTAATGCTTGTTAGCACAATGCTAACAAGCATTAGCAATTCTGGCTGCCAATCAACCTGGGAAGGGAAAAAGTTGACCTGATTTCTGTTGGTCTGATTATTACTTAACAGAAAACAATATGATAGGCATCACTGAAGAAATGACAGAAACAGAAAGGATGTTTTCAATGAATTTACATGTGGATGAATTTACTAAGGATTGGAGAAAATTATTAGGATTTGCCTGTGAAAGTATCTATAAAGGCTCAGAAGGAATTAAGTTTAATAAAATGACAATGTCTTCTTTTCTGCAATGTTGTCACTTTAAATTTTTGTCTTATTTTTACCCTTTTAACATCACATTCCTCACACTTTGTTCCCGTGTGATTGATTTTTATTACATGGTTTTATTTGGACACTTTCAATATACGATATAAAAAAAACCTGTGAAAGTTGTAAATCTCCAAATTCACTCCAAACACAGATTATGTTTATTCATATCGCTATGAATAAACTTTCTTAAATTCTGACTTTTAAGAAAGTCAGAATTGTAAGAAAAAAAATCAGAATTCTGAGAAAAAAGTCAGAAATTCAAGAAAATTCAGACTTTTTTAAAGAAAAAAAAAGCCTGAATTTTAGAAAAAGTCTGAATTTTACAAAAAGTCTGAATTTTACAAAAAGTCTGAATTTTGGGCTCCATGTCCAGTAATGACCATAGAGATGATGCCAAAAGCAAATCTACAACAGAATGCTTAATTTTTTTTCTTTTTAGAACAAATCCACATTTTGCAGTGAGCGAATCACTGATAGGAAGAAAGTGGAGCTTACTGTGTTTTTCATTACATTCCCATCCCATCAGCTGAACCTGACTCTGTCTGTCCGCCTCGTCGCTCCAGAGCTTCACCCACCTGAAGGTCCAGAGCAGCAGAGCGACACCGAGGATGAAGACGAGGCTGTAGGTCACAGACCTCAGCTGCTTCAGCGCCGGCGGCTCCAGAACGCGGCTCATGGTGGAAATAATCCACTCAGCTCTGATCCCAGGTAGGAACTATCAGAACTTCGACTCATTAAGGCGTGGAGTCCAGATCCGCTTTCAGATCTTAACTTTTCGCCTGAAGCAGAGCAGGATGTCCTGGCGTCTTATCTGCTCAGTTAAATATTAGCAGTTACGTTAAATATCTCTTCTAATATTTCAGTTCCACTTAATACTTATGTACACATTTAACTCTTTTTTCCTTTTTCTGCTTTTCCATGTTACATTTGTTTAATATAAAGTTAAATATAAAGGGAACTCTGAGGAAATTCTCTTCTGTTTCTGATCTATTTAGACACTCAGTGAGGCCGGTTCTTATGGAGGACTAATCGTGCCAAAATCAGCCAGACATATAGAAATAAACAAATATCTTGTTAAAGTAATTGTTACACGCACCAGGACTGGAGTCAGTGTAACAGACGCTGATTTTTCCTGTAAACAGGACAGAACAGGGTGAAGTAACGAGGCAGAAACAACTCCGTACTTCTCAAATCCTCCTGGAATCTGTTATGTTTATTAGACATTGTGTCAATGTTATTCTTCTTTGTCATTCATTTGTCAACATGCTTATTTCTGTAATGAACAGTTTTGTTTAATCCTTCCATATAAAGGCACAACTTGTTCTACACTTCATTCTCATGGTAACTCCCATTCGCTACCCAGGATTTTACTGTATAAACATACAATGCATTTGTATTTCTTTGTACATAAACATTCCAACAGAAAGACATATGGCTAATCAGATCACAGGTAACATATTTATAACTGATAACTAACGTTAATTAAACAATGTGCACATAAAACCTCAGCTGGACCGCAGTCTCTCTTTTCCCTCCCGGCGCCTGTTAGTTCAGTTGCTATAACAACGGTAAACAAAACACACTATTAACTGCGTTAACAATGCTAAATAAGTTCTTAGAATGGTTACGCTGTGAGGGTAAGATGGTTACAGACCCTACTAACTTGTAAACAGGATATAACAGGAGGCAGAAACAAATCCGTACGTCTCAGTCCAGCCAGAGAATACAGACTCCGGAGCGATTACAGAGCACACTGCCTCCTACTGGTAGCTTTCTGCTACTGCAATAAAGTTAATTAAAATAGATGCCAAATCTCGAAATTAGAAATATACATAAAAATAATTAATTCAATATCAAAATAGAAAAAAAATAACAGAAACCATTACTTTTGTTGCTTCCAAAAAACAAACAAATAATAGTTTTTTGATGCAATATTTGTTTTTAATTTATCATCAACTTAAGTGAAAATTAAATAATCACTTTTATTTAATTTTCCACTTTATTTACAGTTTTATATTATTTTCCTTTCACATCCAGTATTTATCAAATATTTGTAATTTATTGTCACTTTACATTTTTCATATTCTGTATGTCTTAAATATTTACTGTCATGTTTTTTTTTTTATCATGCATTGATTTATTTTATCCTGTAATATTTTCTCTTTTATCCATTAATGTTGCTCATTTTACTACTTGGTTCAGCAGTTCTTGTTTTTAAAGGGGATCTATTGTGCAAAATTTTTGTTCTTCCATTTGAGTCTCTACTATTTCTGAAAACAATCCTAGTGTTTAAAAAAAACACCAAGCCGATGTTTGGAAATAAGTTCATGTTTTTGGTGTCTGGAAAATGAGCCGTTTCAAAAACCTCCTGAATGTAATGTTACAAGTCAGCAGGCATGGCTCGTTACCTAGCAACCGCAGTGGAATTCCAACTGTTACCAAGCAACCCCAACAGAGTTCCGGCCGTTACCGAGCAACCCCAACAGAGTTCTGGCCCAAGCAACCCAAGCGGAGCTCCAGTAGATTTTACTGCTGTATGCAGTAACATCTGCATACAGATTTTACTGTATACAGATTTTACCACATACAGTAAAATCTGCATTTTACTGTATGCAGATTTTGTTGTTGCATAGTCAACAACAAAACAAAAGTGTTTTGTTGTTGACTATCCATCCATAAACCTCTTGCTGCATTTTTGTTGGTTGTGCAGGAGGCTCCATTTCTGCTTTTCAAAGTTGTACGGTTGTATAATTGTGCATCTGTTTGCAGTCATTTTCACATATGAGTGTGAACGCTGAGCTGGGGGTGTGGCCAGAAGCAGCTTATTTGGATTTAAAGTGACAGGAAGCCTTAAAACAGCTCATAGACCCATAGATCTACCCTAACCAATCAGAACAGCTCCCCTATCAGCGTGACCTGTTACCAAACCAGCACAGCAAGTGGAAAGGTAAAACTGAATCAATAAAATTGAGTCAACATGGCTTTAGGGATGTGGATGGAGGAGTTTTCCAAGGTTCCCTCTCCTACAGACTGTTTCCCGGCAGAAGTCCAGTCTCTCTGAGGACGGTGTTGACAGCAGAGGAAAGGCGAGCGCTGTAGTTAAGGAGTCGGCCATCATAAATCATCTGCTTTGGCTTCAGTTCAGTTGGTCCTCGGGATCTGCAGAAACAGGAAGTAGAGGCAAAGGTCAGCGCTTGGCTTTGACCTTTAAACAGGACAGGATTCATTCTGGGGCGCATTTGGTTTTATGATGTCTGGGGTTCGTTTGGATCGCATCCTTCAAAGTATTTCTGACTTTAAGATTTGAGAAGTTAAATAATCTAGTCTTGGTCTCCATTAAAATCGTTGTGAATTTATGCGCAAGTGTAAAATTTTTTATCAACTGGTTCAGTATGGAACATTGTGACCGTTGGTTTTCAAGCTAAAAATCAATAACAGAAACATCCTGGTGAACCTGAAGGCGCTGACTTACTTGATGTGGTACATCCTGGCCAACTTCCTGTCCACCCAGACGCAGACTCTCTTCGCCCTCAGCACTCCGTGGACGGTCACGGCGAACATGCCTCGGGGGTTGACGATGGTCTTGAAATTGCGATATCCAAACGGAGGCTTGATGGGCTCGCTGTACAGGTGGGCCAGGATGTTGATCCCTGAGACGTTCTGCCATTGGTTCTGCTGGGGCAGCGTCTTGGGCGCTGGAGGGGTCAGGAAAAACTCACTGGGAACCCAGTTATTCTGAAACATGTAGCACCTCTCTGCGCCAAACTTCCTCTCCAGCTGTTCCAGCAACTTCAACCAGCTGTGGAGAAGATGAGGAAAAAGTAAAACTCTTAACTTTGGGCAAAAAGCATAAATAAAAAAAAAAAATTAAAAAGTGAGCTACGCTAACCCTAAAGCACTAATCATTCACATTAGTACTTCTAATGCTAATGTGCTTCAACAACATGGTTTTTAGCGGAAGCTAATGCTAAAATGCTAACGCGCTGCTGTCCGTTTTTTTGTGTTTTGTTTCTGTATCTTTCTTG